TCCCCCTCTCTCTCCACCCCACCCCTGCTTGGGCTCTGTCTCTGTCTTCCAAAAATGAATAAACAAAATTTTTTTGAAAATTTTAGTAATTATAACAAAACACATTATATGTCATTACAAAGGAAAAATGTTGGAGGTACTCAGAGTTAACATTTAGTTATTTAATCAAATAGGAGCCAAAACTTGAATTTTTTATTCAAAATATATGGGAAAAAATTAGGTGGTTAAATTTTTAAAAAAATGAAGGCTAGTGTCCAAGTTGTCACGGGATTTATTAAGATTCTGGCTTGCTATTTTGAATCTGCTGTGAGTAGTTCAATCAGAGCCATCTAGCATTGTAGGAAGTTTCGATGTGCTAATGGGAAACATAAAAATTGACAGCTGCCATTAATTTCAGATAGTACCATTTACTATAATCTAAATTTGTAAAAGATTAATAATATAAATTTTTAAAAATCTGAAGAGGATTTTCCATGATCTCTGGTAACCATGAAGGTATAGAATCAGAGGAATGACACAAGCACTTTTTGAAGGAAGGCAAAAAAAAAAAAAAAATCTTGGGAGAAAAGGCTTACCTATCTTTTATAGGCAGCAGGGCTCTTGAAGGAGGGTCTCCAAAAAAGACGCCTGTCACAGAGCCAGAATCCTGTCCTCACAGCAGAAAGGTTGTACTGGGTGAACAGATGAACAAAATAAAAATTAGCTTAAAATACACTATTCTTTTAACAACTTGGCTGAGAAAACTCAAGAGTGCCAAGAGTAAAGAATGTGCAAGCCTTAATATAGTTCACAAAAGATTATGAAAGCAAGTTCAAGATTTTATTATGATGATTATTAACTTTGCCTTCCAATGAAAGATTTTAATAGTTTATATGGTTTTGTAATTCCTCTGATCAAATTATTATGGGGAGGGGGTTCTTATATTTTAGAACATAATTAAGGACTAACAAAACTTTTGCATTCACCCTCCCACTACCACCAAATAATTCCCTGAATGGTACAAATATAGAAATTTACCAAATGCTAGAATTCAAAGTGTCTCTGATCTGGCTGACACTGCAGGATGCCTCCTTCCCCCCCAGACTCAGGAAAGCTAACACATGGATCTCACAGCTTCCCCTGCAGTTAGAGGTAGAGAAGTAACAAAGTTCTGGCCAAGGCAATGTACACGGAGATGTCTGATAAAAGGAATCCCTTCTGGGGCAAAAAACAACAAAGTGAAACATTACTGGAAGAAAGCTCTTTGCTCTTCTCTCTGCCACAGGGATTCAGTGCCTTAAGGTAAAAGCACCATCTTGTGATCATGAGGTTAAGTGCCCCTTATGAAGATGGTGGCTCAGGAATAAAGAGGATACTCAAATTCTTGACAACCTTTCTTGAGCTGTTGTACTGGCCCCAAATTGCCCGTCTGTGGATTTCTTGTCATGGAAGAAAAAGGAATTCCTGTTTTGGACATTACTAGTAAGGTTTTTAAGTGTTTGCAACTGGAGACATTCCTGATACATATGGGAAGGTTCAGATAAATTCTAAATACTAAGTAATAATTCAGTTTGTTGTATACATTTCTAGTGATAAGAAGGTGTTATAAAAACACTAATAAGCCAAAACTGAAGATGTATTACAATAAAACTTTAAAAAATCAAGTATGCTTTTAAGGGTCTAAGAGATCATGAGAACTGTTTTCTCCAATGGGAAGCATTGCTTCTTTTTCTGTACTCTCCAATAACTTCTCTGTGCCTAAGGTCTAACGCTTATGGTAAACGGCATACCTAAGCATGGTTTAAGCTCACTGGCTCATTTTAGCAATCTTCCCTGAAAGTAGCTAATCCAGTATGGGAGCCACATGATTTTCAGAGTAAGTTTATAGAAAATAACTAAACCTGTCATTTTTCTTATTCCCTCATTTTTAAGAAACTTCATCTACAAATTTCCTAATTCTAGAATTAAGCAATTCTACTGACCTAATTAAGCAAATTTCCAAGAACCAAAATGATAAAGAAGTTTAAAGTGGCCCTTTTATAAACGAATTACTACCCAAGTCATTCTTGGAAAGAAAGAGCAACTTATTTGAATTACTTCTCAAGAAAAGGAGGATTAAAAACCGCTGTGAACCATGAACTACCTATCACAAAAATAGAGCTACAGGTAGGTACAGAGAACTTCCAACAAAATTTTTTAGCAATTATTGGCTAACATGATAAGTGTGACACGTTTTCCTATAGAAGACTTTTTAAAAAACCTGCCAATTCTGTTTCAACCATGTGGTTTTCAGTGACTTCAATCCTACAGTGAAGAAATAATAAATTTACTTTTAAATATCCTAGTCTTCCACACAGCTAACTATGAGTCACGAGCAGGTGACTAACACTCAACCTCACATAACTGGTCAATAGACAACTGTAACTTGAACTGGATTTCTGCTTGAGTAAGAGTTCTGACTTTAGCAATATGATCTAGATTATAAATAGTCCAAAGCCCTCAATTTACAGAGGAAACAAAAGATTAATCTAACCACATTCATAGTTACTTATTCCAAGAATCTAATGTTAATGGGGGAGAAATCTTTTATTTATAAAAGAAAAATCTGTCTCAAAAAATAAGAATAAGTAATATTAATTTAGTAATCTTCTATGAAAAGAATCTGCAAAATAATTCTATCTACAGGTAGTCCACAACTTTTCCAATCAACCTATCAATCTTCTTTATGACCTCTTAAAAAAAGAGGTCCTTGCATCATAATAATCAAAAATACTGCCACTTATGAAGTCCCTAACAAGGTTGCCACTTATCTCAGTCCTCGAAAAAATGAAAGAGTAAAGGGAAAACACAGTTACCAGAGAAATACTGCTCCTGTTGCTAATACTTACCTTTCAAAGGCAATCAGAGCCTTTCGCAGGAACAGAATCAGTAATAAAGTTTTTGAGGAGTATAGTCCTAAATTTGAAATATCCTTTAGAGCAATGAATAATTGTATGGTTGTTGGAGGGAGACTTATCAGAAAAAGAAAAAAATTTTAAAAAAAGCAATTCTCAGTCCAGATTCTATTGGATTGTATTTTATGAAGTTTGTTAGTTTTCTTTTTCTCCTACATGGCTTTTCACCATTTAACCTGGGTTTCTAGCACAAAATCCTTTTTTAATGACACTGTAGAAAGGCTTTGATTTAAAATTAGGACAAGTTCCACTTGTGATCATTATCCAGGAACCAATATGATTACAAATCAATCAGGGGTCATTTATATTCACAAGATTCAAAGAATTCTATTTGGAACAATGGGACAGTAATCTGGAAAACAAGTGAAAATGAGTATAAAATACCCTCACTTTTTAACCTACACCTTAGTCATTAAATGGCAGGAAAATTAAATTTAGGAATATTACATATGACAAAAGTAATAGTAGCAGCTAATACTTACATACAGTACCTTTGCCAAGCACTGCTCTTAAGTGCTTTAAATAAAGTCATTTAATACAGCCCTTTAAGACTGGTACTGCCATAAACCCCATATTATAAATGAGAAGCTGAGGTATAGACTTTATAAGTAATCTGCCCAAAATCATTCTTGAAGGTAGAGCTGGAATTTGTACCTAGATTGTTTCCAAAGCTCATGCTCATGCTGACCGCTCAGAGCCTGGAGCCTGCTTTGGAGTCTGTGTCTCCCTCTCTCTCTGCCCCTCTGCCACTTGTGCTCTGTCTCTCTCAAAAACTAAATAAACATAAAAAAAACTAAAAAAAAAATTTTTTTTAAAGGTTTTAGGAAGCATAGTGAATACATGTAGTCGTAACCCAAAATTTATTGAAGAATATTACTGCAAAATTGCTATTATTATACATCCACATATAAACAAACATGCTTCCCTCCTAATGTCCTTAAAATCTATTCCATAAAAACTTTAGGGCTAAGATTATTCATCTTCCTTCACACCAAAAATATATTATGAAACACCTGCTAGATTTGTAATATTCTTTTTTAAGTTATGAAGCACTTTATACTTAGCTTTATAGAAATCTTTAAAAATTTGACATTAAAATAATCATGGATTTAAGTACCTAAAAACAAATACACACTCAGTTCATCACATCTTTATTCCTTGTAATCCAGTAGTTATCAACTGGAGGTTGTCCTGCCCCACCGGGACATTTGGCAATGTCTACAGATATTTCTGATTTTCATAACTAGAAGTTGGGGGGGGGGGATGCTACTGTCCTCTAGTGGGCAAACATACTATAATGCACCAGATAGCCCTCCACAAAAAAGAATCATCTTGGTCGAAAAAGTCAAGCCAATTAATCAAGTCCCTAAATAAGACAAAGGAGATGACCCAACTTACAGAGCAAATTCTGACCACTGAAGGGGACACCAAAACAAAGTAAAAAAGAGTCTCTATCAAAACATTATTAGCAATAATAAGTCCCTTCCTTGACTGAAGCTACATATCAAGGAAAGGGTATAGGCTAACTCTTTAAATGGTTCAGAGCTCTCCTTTTCCTAAAGTTTCACTTGGGAAACTTAATGCTCTCAAAATTTTACTGATATTCCCAAGTAAAAGAAAATGGCAGGGATTCCTAAGTGGTACAAAACTTGCCCACCCACCAAATAAAACTCAAATGCTATTATGATCATTAAATCATCCCCAATGAGTTGAGAAAAACTGGTGGTTCTTAAACCCCTTGCTTTCTACATAAAACAGAATAAAATGGCTCCGTGCACACACTCTTCCACTTCCCACTGATCTACTCTAATCTTCAAGGTCCAGTTCAAGTCCAGCCCACACCAACCTCACTCTTCCAACTCCCAAGCTCTCACATGGCCATAAAACCAAAAGCTCCATAAGGGAAAGAATTTATACTTAAATATTTCTCTGTCTTTGTAACTAAAAACAACCAATACGGTAGATAGTTTCTAGAATCTGTTTTCTGGCTATACCTATCATAAGACAGGAATATTTAACTCTCCCACGGAAAGAAATGAGAAAACCCACAAACACCCAACGTTTTACCTCTTCTTCGCTTTCTTTATCTTCTTCATCTGAAGACTCTTCCTTGTTTTTCTTTTCATCTTCATCGCTGCTGGATTCATCTGACAGAATTTCAGGACATTTGGTTCGCTTAGCTTTCCTTGCCATTCCAGAACTGTTCCGTTCCTTTTTGTTGCCTTTGCTAGAAGTTTTCTTAGATTTTGGCAATGGCTGTGTACAATAAAGATAACAACAATGGGCTATTATATTTCCAAGTGAATCATTTTTGGTAACTACTTCTCAACTCAATTATTCTTCTTGTTCCATCTCAGGGGATATTGCCAAACTTAGCAGCTTTACAGACAACAATTCATCTTTAATGTATCAAGTAAATCTTTCTGTCTGAACTACCAATACCCCTTCATTTGTGTTCTCACACCTAGGCAAGACTCTTTCCAAATGCTGAAACACATACTCTGTGTTCTGACTAGGATTAGATGCCCAAGTACACACTAGATTAAGCTCAGAGAGTTACTTACATGTGGTCAAGGGCAATATCTTGAGTTAGACTTACAATTCATTTCATTCCTTGTAAGCATTAATGGCCATGCCAGAGGAGCTTCTTGCTTTAGGGGATGCTCTAATCAAAGACTAGAACCATCCATAAAGGAAATAAAACCTCACTTTACACATCCTGAATTTATGAACTATATAGTTTGTATTCATATTACCTCTGGGCTCTACTTTTGCTAATGTCAGGTTTATATTCTCATTGACTCTAAATATGCAATTAGTGTTGGGTATGTTAATTATGAAACTAATTAAGAAACACAAAATACATGTACTGCTATTACTTTGATATTCAATTAAAGCATGCATATTTAAAAAGCAGAGACCATGTGAAGAAACAATTTGATCATATTAACCAGCAAATTTAATTCTTAAATGCTTTCTTAGGGGAGTATTTGCTAACTTCTGAAATTGAAAACCATAAAATCTTGCATAAAAGATCTGAAAATATATACACTGAGGAATTAAAATTATTTCCGAATTATAGGTATCTACTATTTTTATTTTTTCCTGTTATTTTCTGCAATAAGCAGAAATTGTAAGGAAAATCCCACAACATAACCTTATGATATACAGTTATATAAATGTTAGTGGTAACTGTAGGCACTATCTTTCATGAAGTTGGCAGAACCGCAGGTTCTTTCTCTCCTAGAAACTTCCAGTCTAGGGGTCACTGTCACCTACACAAAAATTAAGAATAAGGTGGCTGTTTTGTGTATGTTCTGTTCTCAGGTTATGTACAATCCATAAGATAGCCTCTAGCTGCCCAAACAACCTATTCTTCCTAAAGGCTGACTGGCCTACAGCCAATCTACGTCAGTTCAGAAATTTTAAGTTAGTATGGGGTGATTATGTGTCTCAGTTGGTTAAGCATCTGACTTCGGCTCAGGTGCTGACAGCTCAGAGCCTAGAGCCTGCTTCAGATTCTGTGTCTCGCTCTCTCTCTGCCTCTCCCCTAAATCACACTCTCTCTCTCAAAAATAAATACACATTAAAAAAAATTAAAAAAAAAAATTAAGTTAGTAGACCACTGATATTTCTCAGAGGGGTTCTCTGTAAGTTTCTATAAAAAAACTTCCTTGAACGTATATGGATATCCTTGTTATGCAACCTGTTACAATTACCAGCTACTACCAGGAACCAAATCCATTTAGATAAATTCTGGAGAAAAGGTGACTCTGATTGTCCAAACTCCCTATTCAATCAATATATGAAATCCAGGACTCAAATATATTAGAAAAGTGTGGTATCCCTTACTATCTCAGTTCAGGAACCAGATACAGGCAGTAAGAATATAATCTATATAAGGAATTAGTAAAGGAGAAGACTGGATGGGTGCAGGATAATCTACACAGGAAAGTGAAAGAATGTTAAACCGTTCAAGTAACCAATCAAGAAAATGCAACTTCCAAAGATAAATAAAGAAGCAGCAATATATAAATATTTTAGAGCCTTCCTGTACTGGTCCTAAAAACAGTTAAACCTTAACCAGAACCCAGTGTCAACAGCATCATCACTTGTTGGAAACAAAATCTGAAAAATAATCAAACTAGAAGTATAACAAAAAAAAGATAGTAAAACAATGTTAATTCAATAATTTTATTACTATGGGGACAAAAATTAGTTACTAATGAGTTTGTAGTGTTTTTCTTAAATGACAAAAACGTAGGTAGTACAGAAAATAACTTGAGATTGATATCAATAGATTAAGAAGTAATCATCACAGAAGCAGATATGAAAAGTGGATACAAGAGTTAGATTCCATAAGAAAGACTGAAAGAGTGGTTCTCAAAATACCGTTCATGGATCGTAGGGTTTCCTGAGACCCTTTTAGAAGCCCACAGTATCAAAATTATTTTCATGATAACATCAAGACATTATTTTCTCTCTTCACTGTGTTTTGTACTGACTGATATTTGTACTGACTGCAAAAGCAAAGATGGTTGTAAAATTGCTGGCACTTTAGTACGAATCAAGGCAGAGGCAGCAAACTGCTAGGAGTCATTATATTTCTCATAACCACACACTAGAAGTGAAAAGAAAAAGGTGTTTTAGAATGTCCTTGATGAATCAATAAATACTAGTGATGTTAACTCTCAACCTCTAAGTACGTGACTTTATGACATCTGGGTAACAAAATGGGAGGTACACCTCAAACACGTTTGCCACATACTGAACTTCACTGGTTTTCTCAAGAAAAAGCACTTGCACAATTGAGCTGGGAGCTGAGCCAGCCACCTTTTTCATGAAACACCATTTGTAAAAGAATCGTCAAAGTATGCCTTTTCAGTATTTAGGTATTTAAAAGACATGTTCTCAAAATGAACGTGAGCCTGTCACTTTAAAGAAAATAACTGATGGTATTTATTGCCAATAATAAATTTCAAAACTTCATATGGAAAATTCACGTCCATAACCATGAACTTAACAGCCTCCTAATACCTAAAGGTTTTTCTGATGAGACAGTGATTTTATTAATTAATGACTTTTTGACAGTGTTTAATGGAAACGCGCCAACATTTGGAAGATCTGCACAATTGAAAAAATCAATAATTTCCACCTGGTGAATGCAGGTTTCAGAGACCACATTACAACTAACCTTTAATAAACTACCACTGTGGAGTTCTGGTGGTCTATCAGAGAATATCCATAATTATGTAAAAGTTTTTAAAGACACTCTTTTTTTCTAACTACATACTGGGTAAGGCTGGATTTTCTTTACATACTTCAAGCAAAACAATGTGCGATAGACTGAAATCCAGAGCAAATAACAATATAGTGGTCTTTTAAGACAGACGTGAAGAGACTTGGAAAAATATAAAACAATGCCATTCTTCTAGTTTTGTTGAAAGTATATTTTTCATATAATACATTACTTTTGTTAACATGTAGTGGGCTTACTGGTATTTAAAATTTTTTCAAAAAAATAAATTTTTTTTCAGTTTTACTTTATAACATAGTAAATATCAAAATAACCCACATAAGCAAAAGCTTCTGGAGTCCTCATTAATTTTTAAGAGGGTAATTGGGTCTTAAAACCAACACATTCAAAATCACTGATTAAAAGAATGTAAACATATCCCTCAAAACCTAAACAACTTCTGAATGGCTTCTGGGAAAATGGTATTCAATTTGTCACATGAAATTCTTAAGAAGTACAGGTCTGTCCATAGTAAAAGTTTAAAAAATAGGGAATCTCTCATTTTTAAGCAAACTCAAAACACATAAACCCCAAAACCAAATCAAAAAACCCCCATAGCCCTTGGATTTATAGCTATATGACAAAAATATTCTTTATCTGTCTTTCTCCAGCTAATGGTAAATCATACCAAGAGCAAATAAAACCAAAGTTCCAGAGCTATTTTCTGGTTCCTAATCCTTATGCCCTCTCCCCTCCGTCACCGATGGTTTTCCCCTGAACTCCTAGGTCCTCTAGAATTTTCCGCAATTTCTTTGCTAACAAAATGAGGAAGATTATGAAAATATTTAGTGACAGACTTAAACTGAAAGTGCAAAGTCAGGTAAGTAATACTTTAATAGACATTTGAAGTCAGTAACGAGTCCTATGTTAAACAATTAAGGCAAACCTAATCTGAATTTTAGGAAGAGTGGGGGAAAGTATAAGGCCATTTTACTTCCAACCATTATTCCAGTGTCTAGAAAATACCCAGTTCTATATGCCCATCTTATCTTTCCTCATCTGGTTGAAGGTTGCATACGTTCCCCATCCAGCCTAACACCTCACCCTCAATTCAACCTGTTTCTTCCAGTTCCTTCTAGATATAAAACCCTGAATACTTAGTTTGCATTTCTGTCCATTTGACATTAACTTAGTTAATAATTATTTTTCTTAATCTTCTATCTTCTGTATCTGATAAGAAGACAAATCTATATGCCTCCTATGCTATTTCTATCATGAAACTGGTGCATGTTCTTTGAAAGCAGAAGACACTACTGAATGTTGAGAAGCAATGCTGCTAACAAACTAAACTGTTCCATAAAAAGAGAAAGGAAGGACAGACTATAACTGATTCATTACTGAAATAGTAAAAATTGGTCCTCACTTTGCCAGAAGGCTTTGGATGCATTAAGAAATTCAAGATCCTCTTCACCAGTTCGCTATTTACACCTGATCTCTCCAAATCAAGAACCTCGCAGATGCTCTTTAACATGGCATTTCTAAACCTAAAACAGAAAATGAAAGAAACCAAGTTTGTTATGTAGCAAAGTTTATAAACATTCTCCACAACATAAAGGCAATAGCTAACCACAGTCGCTCAGTTACAAACATTAAAAAAAGCATGGGGGCAGGGGGTAGGCGCCTGGGTGGCTCAGTCAGTCAAGTCAGACTTCAGCTCCCGTCATGATCTTACGGTTGTGGGTTCAAGACCCACCATCGGGCCCTGTGCTGACAGCTCAGAGCGTGGAGCCTGCTTCAGATTCTGTCTCCCTCTCTCTCTGTCTCTCACCCACTTATGCTCTCTCTCAAACACTAAAAAAAAACAAAAAAAAAAAAACCCCAAAAAAAAGGGCATCCAACCCAGGGGCACCTGGGTGGCTCAGTTGGTTAAGCATCTGACTCTTGAATTCAGCTCAGGTCATGATCTCACGGTCCTGATATCTGCACTGACAGTATGGAGACTGCTTGGGATTCTCTCTCATTCTGTCTGCCCCTCCCATGCTCTCTATCAAAATAAATAAGTTAAAAATAAGTCCTTCCTTTAAAAAAAAAAAAGCATCTAATGTTTCTCTGAATATGGGAAGTACTTTCCAGAAAACAATAAAAAGCACTTTCCTAATAATCTTGATTAATGTATAAAATACAACCAGATAGGATTATTAATAAATTGAAAATACTATTTACCAGTTAAGCTTTTTAAATTAAAAAAAAATTTTTTTTCAACGTGTTTTTTTTTGTTTTTTTTTTTTTTTTGGGACAGAGAGAGACAGCGCATGAACGGGGGAGGGGCAGAGAGAGAGGGAGACACAGAATCGGAAACAGGCTCCAGGCTCCGAGCCATTGGCCCAGAGCCTGACGCGGGGCTCAAACTCACGGACACGCGAGATCGTGACCTGGCTGAAGTCGGACGCTTAACCGACTGCGCCACCCAGGCGCCCCCCAAAAAAAATTTTTTTTTAACATTTCTATTTATTTTTGAGAAACAGAGAGAGACAGGGCACGAGCGGGGGGAGGGGCAGAGAGAGGAGACACAGAATCTGAAGCAGGTTCCAGGCTCCGAGCTGTCAGCACAGAGCCTGACATGGGGCTTGAACAACAAACTGTGAGATCATGACCTGAGCTGAAGTTAGATGCTTAACTGGCTGAGCCACCCAGGCACCCCTTTAAAGTTTATTTATTAAGAGACAGAGAGAATGAGCATGTGCTTGCAAGCAGGGGAGGGGCAGAGACAGAGAGAGAGAGAGAGGAGAGAGCCTCAAGTAGGCTCCAAGATACCAGTGCAGAGCCCAACTCAGGGCTCAAACCCATGAACCAGGAGTTCATGACCTGAGATGAAATCAAGAGTTGGGACACTTAACCGAATGAGCCACCCAGGTGCCCCTACTAATTTTTAAAGGTAGTAAAGGAATAAACTAAGTCAATTCACTAGAAAATAACGTAAGAAGTTTTCAATACTATAAAATTCATGGACTTAATTTTTCTGGTTGGTGATTATAAGACCAGTGCTCTAACCCCTGAGCTATGGAGCCAAACATGGTTAGTGATTAAATACTAGATTTTCCCCTCAGCACTCCTACTGTGATGAAGGAACAATCATCTCTATTATTTACTATTTTTAAACTATAAAGGATTTAATAAACAAAAGCTCTTAAGAATATATCATCTTGCTTGCATTGTGGTAAAGAACACGTTTTCATCAAATTGATTATTTTCAAAATAGTTTAAATGGTACCTACAAGTTGGGGGAACAGAAAGGCTGGCAGGAGATAAAGGAGGGTGGTGGATTTTTCACTCTATTCCCAAGGCTTGAATTTTGAACTGAATGACTTATTTGCATATGCTTCTAAGAAACAGAAGCATTTTTTAAAGTGAGTTTTCAATAATCTTAACAGTAACTACTTATGGGAAACTAATGAATATCCCAAGTTAACAAAGATCCCAAGATCTTAACAAAGAATGTTAAGATCTTGGCATTAAAAGCAAAAAATTAGCAGTCCACTAAAAATGTTTGGATGGTCTTATTTAAATGTTTAAAAATTAACTCAAAATACATTGATCAAAACACAATACATTGAAAAATAACTTACTTTTTCAACATTTCTTCCTTCTTTTTATATTGGACACTTCCTTTTTCAAATGGAAAGCCACTGAACTGACCCACATTCTTCTTTAATGAGGACACCTGAAAATGTTTCCTTTATTATTAATGCTATTTATTACCCAGTAATGTACATAAGAAAAATTCAAAGCCAACATTTGTATTTTCAAATCTGTTTCCCAGTTATAGTATTGGTTTATTCAACATTTCTTTTTTTTTTTTTTTAATTTTATTTTTTTAACGTTTATTTATTTTTGAGACAGAGAGAGACAGAGCATGAACGGGGGAGGGGCAGAGAGAGAGGGAGACACAGAATCAGAAGCAGGCTCCAGGCTCTGAGCCATCAGCCCAGAGCCCGATGTGGGGCTCGAACTCGCGGACCGCGAGATCGTGACCTGAGCTGAAGTCGGACGCTTAACCGACTGAGCCACCCAGGCGCCCCAACATTTCTTAACTCACAGCGGAAAATAGTATTTGTCACTCAAATATTAACGTTATAAAAGGCTTAAAAATTTAATTCTTTAAAGATAACAATTTGAATTGAACAAATTTCCATCTGGGAATTTTTACTGACAATTACAGAACTACAACTAAAAGTTATCTGACAGTATTAGGGGATGTGGAAAGTCACTTCTTAAAAAAAGATCCTTTCCCCAAGAAATACACATTACTAGTAATATTTATTTCTTATATGAGAGAGTCATGGATTTTATTTTTTGAAAAGAACAGAAGACCTCCAATATCCAAAAGTTATACGATTTAACAGTAATGAGACTTGTGTAAATTAGATTGTAGTGAGATCAAATGAGATAACACACAAGATTCTAACATCAAACTTCACTTTGTCCTTGCAAAACCCAAAGTTTCCTCAATTATATGAAATAGATTTGTTTTAACAAATCCCCAAAGAATTACCACCCAATTTATCAGATATTTGCTCAAAATGAGATACAATTATACTTTATCATTTTTTCTGAATAGCTGGAAACCTTCCCATAATAAATTTCTTCTAATACATTTAAAGATCACTAAAATCACCACAATTAAAAAAATTCAGTTTTGGGGCGCCTGGGTGGTGCAGTCGGTTAAGCGTCCGGCTTCAGCCAGGTCACGATCTCGCGGTCCGTGAGTTCGAGCCCCGCGTCGGGCTCTGGGCTGATGGCTCAGAGCCTGGAGCCTGTTTCCGATTCTATGTCTCCCTCTCTCTGCCCCTCCCCTGTTCATGCTCTGTCTCTCTCTGTCCCAAAAATAAATAAATGTTGAAAAAAAAAAAAAATTCAGTTTGGCATAAAAACTATACTACAAAGCCTGGATATTACAATCCTAACTGCTAATATCCAACTATGTATTCTGTGATAAATCATTTAATAAATGTGTGTTTCAGTTTGTTCATTTGTATGGTACAGAAACTGAACTAGTTGATTGCCGAAGTCCTTTCCAGAACTAAAATTATATGCTTCTATTGCACAAATACATAAATATGTTACTAGATTAAAGACATAAAAAAGGTCTTAACTGTGCCAGGTCTGTTGTAAAGTAGTTTATGTAGATTTCTAAGTTCATCCGTTTTCTTTTTACTCAGGAAGAAATGTATCCTTTCAATTTCACAAAGTTTCTGTCCTTTTCCTAGGAAAAAACACACCGTAATAATTAAAGTTAAGCACTATTATGTGTTAATAGATTTACAGTTATTTTAATGATGGTTATTTTTACAGCATAATTTATTTATAGCTTTTGCTCAATAGGGCAAACTAAATGAAATTATACCATTAATATATAACTACTTAGTAAACACTAAAAACTGAGCACTGCTGACCATAAGTTTGATATTTAAACATTTTTAGTGTCAAGTGAAAAGAACAGAATAAACTTACCTTGTGCAATTGTAAATGGCTCTCTCTGTAAGGAAGAGACTTGCATGGTCAATCTCTCCACTTTTTTCTTTTCCCTCTTGCCTTCCACGATCAGACTCTTTTCTAGAAATTAATTTAATACTTCTTAAATAACCAGAAGCTTAAAGAACATATTAATTTTATTGGATAAACATATAAGGAAAAACTGCAGAAATCTCTAATACTTTACTCTTCTCCTGAGCATGGTTTTGAGAAGCAAATGAGAGATGAAAAATAGTAAGTTAACAACATCACTGAAATCTTTTTTTTAGAGTAACATTTTATTCGCCTGGCAAGTCACAAAGGGATCCAGTTTAAAAAAAAAAAAATCAGAAAGCAAAAAACTTTTATTCAACTACAATTATTGCTAATGAAAGTCCAGTCACTTTGTAAACTATCACCAAGGCCGACTCTTTAATTAGACCTAATTCTGTTGATTGCAATTTAGTTTATGATACATCATCAAATAGCTAGCTTGGGCTGAGATTATAAGAACTTCAAAAAACATACAAAGAAAGCAATAATTCAGCAAGCTGACGAAAGAAAAACAAGGACCTTAGCTAAGGCAGAGCAGCCTAATGTTGCTATAAATAGGGCAAAATTCTACAAGTTCACGTTTACTGCAACTGACTGGGAGGACATTATTTTGTAGTTCAGTAAATGTTTATAACAGTGATCATAAATCATTCTAAAAAAGTTAAACTGTTTATGGTGTGGACTGCTTTAAAAAAAAAAAAGGCTAGAGGGGCACTTGGGTGGCTCAGTTGGTTAAGCGTCTGACTCTTGATTTTGGCTCAGGTCATAATCTCATGGTTCCTAGGATCGAACCCCAAGTAGGGCTCATCAGCAGAGGGCCTGCTTGCGATTCTCTCGCACCCTTTCTCTTTGTGCATGCATTCTCTCTCTCAAAATAAACATTAAAAAAAATGCATAAACATTTAAAAACATTAAAAAAGACATATATACTTAAAAACTTAAACCTTTAAACTTAAATTTCTAAAATGATTTATACCCACTGACACAAATTCAGATAAAAAAGAGAACACTCTATCACTGAACGTCCTTTCATTCATTCAGCTGAATGCTTGTTTTGTGCAAAGCCTCACTAGATACTAAGGGGGGGGGGGGGGAGATGAACAGATGATGAAGATACTGAATATCCTGAAAGACATCACGTCTACTGGTGGTGTTTAGTCACAAATATACTCCAAGGAGAAGGTGATACACACCTTAGGAAAGATACAAATAAAAGTTCTCCGAGTTGAACACAGTAATTATTTTTGGATTAAGGAAAAACGATCAAAACATTTGGAGGTGGCTTTGAAAGATTTGGAGACATAAGGATTTGTGCAGAAAAAATGAGTAAGGATAAAGGGATTCCGGCAGGTATATTCTGGCAATGGTGTGCAGAGGGAAGAAAACACACTCTAAAGCAATCCCTGTTATCCTGCTGCTGAAACCCTGACTGACTTAAACCATTTTGCTTGCCTCTGATTACCATCTATGAGCTAATGGCTCTCCAGATCTGCATCCAGTCGAGAGCTTTCTAAGCTTCACATCAACTGTCAGAGCCGCCAGTGGACAGCTCCACTTCGTGTCCTCCAGGCACCTAACTTCAGTGCGCTCAAACAGAACTCCGAATCCTCTCCACACTTGCTCACCTTTGTGAATTAGGTTTTCCAGAAAATGGTAATATTGTCAGCTCAGCTGCCAAAGACACAAACCTCAGAGTCATCTTTTATACTAGCCCCTCCCCACCCAAGTCAAGTCCACCCTTCTTTGGCAGACTGCGCTGTCCTGTTTCTGAGATGCCCCAGGAGTACAATCAAATTTTCAGGGCTAACTGGGATAAAAACCTTCACAATTTTAGTTGCTCCACAAACACGTCAAAGGAAGGAAACAGAATAATCAATTAAAACAACTACAGAATTCCTTGGGGGTAATTCTGGAGGAAAAAAAATCGCACTCTGAACGATCATCTGGCCCCTAAGCATTACTGTATCAACCACAGGTAGTATTTTTACACGATTTCTATAATTTTTTTCCTGACAGAGGAATCCATCATCCCTGTGGTATAGAAACTTGGTCTTTAAAAAGAGACTAAACAACAAACAAAAAATCGGAGGTAAAAACACTCAGAAAATTTTGGACTAATAGTTGAGATACTGCAGCCAATTTTTAGTTATTGTATTGTGAATAACTTAAAAATAATTTATAATTTTCTCCAACCACTTCAGTACTTAAATGTGGAAATGCTCCGATCTCAGAGCACCTACCACTTCTAACAAAGAAAAAGGCATGCCGTGTAATCTCAACCCAGATCGTAGATATAAAATGCTGACCTGGGGCTGGTTGAGGCTTAAAAGAAATGGGACACTTAAACCCGGGTTTGGAAAGAACACTTCAAACTTCTTCCCAAGTTTGGCTGGAGCCACATATGAAACAAACCTGGATTGGCCTAATATCATCAAAGGACGCTAAGAGAACTGTGATACAGATTTTTTTAAGTGACTGGAAAACCTTTTAGGAACCTGGCATACCCGGAAGTGGTAGTGCCCCGTGCATGATGGAGAAAGTGATGCTCTATCAGTCCCGCATCCGGTAAGGTCCTCCTGCTTCAGGCCTCCAGGCAAATAATGGTTAATAGTGCACTCCTGCAACTCCAAAACTGAGACCAGTTTCGGAGCTCTTTCACAGTTCACCGCTTTCCTATTTAACTACTTTCTCGAGCAGCAACAGCTTTCACTGGTGTTTCCCCGTGAGAGTGAACTCCCCCAAGCCTCTGCAAAGGGCCTCTGCTGAAGTTCAGCAGATGCATGAAAAGTTGTCAAAATATCTCCAGGACTAGCATGAATAACGTCTTCACGTCTGCATGTGTGGTTTCAGGAAAGACCTCGCAAGAACTTCAAAAGGCAAAACACCTGTACTTAAATTAGCAGAAGATGAAATTAAAAACAGCAACCCTAGCGACTTCAAAAGCCAACAAACAAGTGTTAAAAACAGATCTGAAACTTAGAAACGTCCTGTCAAATGACGAAAACGTTACGAACGCAGACTGCTGGCCACAAGTCAACCGCAACTCCCAAATGCGTAAATAACAACGCTAACAGCTATTTTCCACCAACCGGAATTCACCAATTCTCTGCCACTGCTCAACACCAAAAAGGGATAAATCTCGCCAACATTCTCGCCAGAGATCCCTCCGATTCAGCGTCTCCAGGCGCAAAAAAAGGAGGCAAGAAAACGGTTTTCTGTGAAATCCATCACCAGAGACGCGACTTTCTCCCACCTTTTTCTTCCTCCTCCTCCTCTTCCTCCTCCTCGTCGTCCTCGTCCTCCTCTTCACTTTCCTCTCTCGGGCCGGGCATTTCGGGCTCTTTCTCGGACGCGGGCTGGGCGGGGGTTCCCTCTCCCTCTGCAGCTGGGCCCGAGGAGGACATGCTGTCGACCTGCGGGCGGGTAGAAAGCCACACGTCTCGGTCCCCTCGGCCCCGGCGGCAGGGACGGGGCGGCCACCGAGACCTGCCCGACCCTTCACGGCCCCAGGACGCAGGGGGCCGCGGGAAACCCGACCTCAAAGTTGCCTCCTCCCGCGGCCGGGACAGCAGCGCTTACTCCCCGGGGACGGCTTCCCTCCGGCTGCGGGCATTCCCGAGGCGGGAAACCGCGGGCGCCGAGCCGCCCCTCCCTCCGCCGGGCCCGCGCCGCCCC